AGCAGCTGTTGCAAACTAGATTAGACATTTTAGATATGTAGAAGTGTGTGTATCATTACTTTCACTTCTCTGGATTTCTTTTACTTGATCGGTTGCAGTTATTTAAAGTAACAAGTACCATTCGCGTAGATTCTTAATTAAAGCGTTTTACGTCTAAAAGTATTTTTACAAAATTAAAATGATCGCTGATATTCGTAAACTTGTTTTTAATAAGCCAAATCACTTAAAGCTTGCTATCAATTGGACGGTTCGGTAACCAAGCGTTTCATCAAGATAATAATTATTAATATTCTTAATAATGAATAGTTAAACGCATGTATATTAATTTGTGTATAATACCATCATCAACTGGAGTTATTGATACCATCTTTGACTCTAAAGTTATTAAATGCATAAATATTAAAATAAGTAGGCAATTATTTAATAAATTATTTATTCAATATAACTTTGAAGTTTATATCTTAGAAAGCTTTTCATAATACAACACGATGACTAGAAATGATTATAAATAATAGTGTAAACGACAAAAATAAAATAAAAAGAATGACTCGTTCTATAACAGAATGTCGACCCCAATGCAGCAATGGTATACAGGACGATCTGTTTTCGTTACCGGAGGTACAGGATTTATGGGGAAAATCCTTCTGGAAAAGTTAGTCCGGGCTGTTGTTGGAATTAAGAATGTGTACGTTTTAATAAGACCCAAGAAAGGATTAACCCCAGAAGAAAGATTAGAACTCATAACAAAGTTACCGGTAAGTGCATATTCACAGGAAAAACACCAAAACAAAAATGTTCTTGGAATCGTAGATAATAAAGAAAGGAAAACGTTTTCACAATTCTAATTGGAAAATGCTTTTTTTGAGCTTTTTTCTTTATGCATATAAAGAACAATATATTGTGGCGTACTGTACCGATTCGCACAATGTGACTTAAGACAATTTTTACCGGATGAAAATAATTAACAGATTTTTGCTTCATTATCTACGCCAATATTTCACCATAAATTGATACAATGTAAATTGTATATGATTTATGTATATATTTTGAACGGAAAAGGCGTTGTTAGATTATACGGGCAATTGGTTTTAATAATTACTTGGTGCAAATGCGTAATAACAGGATGTAGATAGATAGATATTGGAAATTGTTTAATGGACACTATGAGTTAACCAATAGGAATTAATTTCATGATTTATGGCCGATAGCAAAGGCTACACCTTGATATTATTAATTATTAATATTAATAAAACAGAAAACGCCGATTTGGTATAGGTACCTACATATTTCCATAAAATTATATTTAATTTGACTTATGTTTCGCACGCACTGCGGCTTCTTCAGAAGTTTTGCACGAAGTTCATTCAAACTGGAACTGAAGCGTTCATAACGAAACATTTTTAGTTAATTACTGAAACTAATGAGCGTACTATATCTCACTCAATCGGCTGTAGTAGGTGAAGGTAACTGACCTGTAAAAATGCGTGTAATGTTCTTGCGTTGCTAAATATGTAGGCACGCAAAAAAATTGAAAGGAACTTGCCAAGATTATTAAAAAATCGATGCCACAGCGTTGAATTTAAATTGTAATATTAGGTGCACCGCAAGGAGCATTTCTGGGACCGATTATCTTCATTATACCAGTTAACGGCGTACTGCTATGTAGTCTCGAGATCCTGAAGTAATAACAACTGTTGTAACAACAATTTACGCAAATAAGGACGTAAGGGAAATGTTTCTTTTTGATACTTTTTATGAAAATAAATTGCTTACAACAGTCGGTATACTTATTAAGAATAATAAATAAATCTGTAACGTGCAATATTTAAGTAAAAATATTTAAAATACTATATAACATCTACACGTTTAGTTATCTTTAGACAATAACATTTAATCATTATTTAAAGCCGATGTGAACTTTGAAAAGTTTAAGACTCATGCACAATTATCGTTTAATGATTATTTTGCTTTCCCTGCCATTTGCTTTATAAATAAAATAAAATAAAATAAGTAATTGCCTAATTTAGCAGATTTCTATTATAAATGTTCGATGGAAGTCAAAGGTAACATAGGAAATTAAATTGTAAAATGAAACAGGTATGTAAGAAGGAAGGTTTGTGAACGTCTGTGTAGTCTTAAGTACTAAAGGATTTTTCTATATAATTCCTGAGGCAAGTTGTACATTATTAGGCATACGTTTGTTCCGTTAAGGCGTTAAAATGACTGCCTACGTATACAATAAATAATAAACAAAAAAAAACGAACAAACTTGTAACTACTTGTACAGCCTACAGGCTCACTACATATAATATTCATTTCGACTGAAAATAGAAAGTAACAATCAGGAAATTGTATCTAACAAAGAGTCCTGTTTCAATTTTCCTTTTTCACCTGCCCTTCTAAATAACTGTAGGTAACACAAAAGGGGTTTAAATTACAAAATTTGTATTTGATTTCAGGACAATTCGTTAAAGGACTGTTTTATAATCTTACAAGATAATTTTCGTAATCTTACCGAATACGTCTGACAAACTTAAGAAAAAGATATTTTATTATTTAAATTGCAATTCCTGGTAATTGTTATTGTTCCAATTACTTTGATTGTTTTTTAAAAATTCTTTCATCCTAAAACAGTTTAATGTTGAAATTATAGATTTAGGAAAATAAGGAGAAAAAGTAGCTTACAAAATTTACAAATAATGATATATGTGTGTAATTTGTAATGTATGTATAAAGCGCAAAAGTTATAGGCCTTTAATTAAAATTAATAGTTTTCAATCAAAGGTCCATGCAAATTATTTCGTAAATTCGTATTGACTTTTTTTGATTAAAAGGTAACAAAATTAGCATCTATCGAAAATTAATAATGACCACTTTTGCAATCTGTCCATTAAATAAATTCAGAATTTATCTGAACCTACTAAAGCTAATTGAAAAACCGATTAAGGAAGTAACAGATATTTCACTATAAGATGTGTTTTAAATAGTTTAAATATAATTCGCATTAAGTAAATGAAATATTTTCTCTTAAAAAATGCTGTTAAAAGAGATAAACTTGGCTAGTATATGTATAGAAAGTTTCCCATAATTGGCTTGGAAAATTAGTCAAAATGGCTAACATTGCAACAGAGTTAATAGGTAGATACAAGTTAAAAGTCAAATCAATTAATTAACCAGGTAATTAATCATTTAAATCGTTTACTTAAGGCTTTTTAAACATTATTAAACATTAACTAAAACAATTATGTGATAGGGGTAAGTAGAAGCGATGCAAGATAATTAGGAATTTATCTATTTAACCGTAAGTATTTTTTTAAGGTAATTGTTACAGTGTAATTAATAACGAATAAGGACGTGTAAAATAGTTTTTCTTACAAGGGACATACTTTATGCAATGCAATTTCCTTAAGACTCGTTATCGCGATTTAATGTTCCTAATTGGTTTGAAGTTTTAGTGAGAAATAGACGTGTCACGCTCACTAAATAATTACAATCGTTACTGTGCACATAAAGGTACGTAATAATAATAGAGAAAACGGCTAACAGTGCATCTAATATTGTGTGGTGCATTATTTAGAAAATCGCCTATGTAACACGTACCTTTTCCATGTACCTAAGTATGTATGTATGTACAAAGCTCTCCTTCTTCAAATTATTCGCTAATGTTAACTTGGCTCATTAGAAAGCACTGCCGCATAGATTTTATACCGATTGAGATAAAAAAAAAATAATGGAAATACATTTATACTATGAATCTACAACGAACGACGATCGATATTCTCTTTAGAAGAGATGCGATTTATTTGAAATAATTTTATTTAAAAATACAAAATATCTATTTGTCATTATCAGAAGGTCGTCAGTCCTAAAACTGGTTGGACACACCTCCACTCGTTCCTATCCTGAGCTAATCTTCGCATTTCCCCAAAACAACCCACATCCTTAACTGTTTGAGAACAGTAATCTAATCTAAGTCTACCTCAGGGCCGTAGCGAGACCGGTTCAAGCGGTGCGGCGCACCGGGGCCCCTGCAGTCGAGGAGCCCCTTAGCAGTTTTCAAAAAATGACTTCTAAAAAAAACTATGCTGTTAGAGATGAGCTGAGTCAAACTACGAAATGAACATCATAATTTTTTATTTTACTTTTTTCTATATCAATTTTTGTCACAATACTCCATATATTTGATCAGGTACGTAGTTACATGGAATGCATACATCTCGAAATCGCGAATACTTCTACATTCANACTTATTTCAAAAACGTTTATTATTTTCTATTTATGTACACAAGTGGTTTGCATTACTTAATTCTTAACTATTCTTTTTTTATTCTTGTACTTGCTAACGTATTTACAATTCATTAATCGTGCAGACCAGAGCTTATCTAATAACATATATACACGGTGCTCATAAAATTGCCTTGATAACAAGTGCAACGTCCTCAAAATCTAAGTTCACTTGCAGATGAAAAATAATTTTAGTTAGCACCATCAGAAAACTGGTTATTTATTATTAGATGCTCTGGCACACACATCGGGACATATTTTCTGATACAGAAAATATATCATCAAACAAATTTTTGTTTATTAATTCAAAACACAATAAGAATCATAAAAAAAACAACGAACGTTCTTTGGCAAAATAGACCGATTTTACACTAGAAAAGGTCAAACGTGAATACAATGCTTTTTTCTGACGATGCCGATGTAAAACAAGTTGTAAGATGTTAGTAGATTTTGAAAAAATTAAGACGAGACAATAAGGTACTTTGTTATCTACATTCAAATCCCTATATCATACAAAAACACTACTAAAATACAAAGAAATGCATACAATTCAAAAATCAACAGATACACGAAAACAATTTAAGTTAAAAATTAAGATTTTGCATTGACTAGACCTCATACAATTCATTTTATTAAATAGTTAAAGGCACTAGCTTATTTTTTTTTCTTTTTTTTAATAAATTAAGAAAAGAATATTGAGGCAGATTTGCTTTTTATAACAAGAAAAGAACAATAAATACTTAATTAAAAATACCTTATTGTCAAAAATCACAACCGGCTCCGAAGCCTAAATAGTAGACTAACAACGAATTATAATTAAAACTTACTCAAAAACACGAATAACAAACATAAAATGTCGAACAAGGAGAACAACAGTCAAACTTGTAAGACTCAGAATGTATTTTTAAAATACATTCGACTCTGAAAAAGAAACTCAAAAAATAACCACTACAAATTCAGCTAAGTATTGTAGAATGTGGAATTTTCATATTATTCTACACTATTCTGCTGGTACTGGTGAAAAAGTTACGATCTATAAAATTAATTGTAATTAGGTACTTGATGTCCTGAAAAAATCAATTATGCATAAGTTTTCTTGAATGAGTTAAGATGAATTATAAAATTAAGAGCATTTATTTGGGATACAGTTAAAAATAAGAATAATATTTAAAAATATGCATCCAATATATGAATGTAAGTTCAGGATCTTAGGATAAATGAAGGAAATAGGATTCAGGTGTCGTGGTTGCTTTCTAAAGTTGTATTGCTGCAAATCAAATACTTTTAAAAAATAAAATGGCACCTGCCACCTTACCTATTATTACCAAAGGCGATGTAGATGTAAATTACGAGACAGAACAGACCGCACGTCTGCTGTAAACCTCAGTGCATCTAATACTGGCAGAAGATTGAGCAGAGCTACGTCTGTTGGGTCAGAAATCCACGACTTTATAGGTATTGCATTATCTAGAAGAAACTTGCGCTTATTGTAAAATTATGTGTTAAAACAAATAAGGAATTATACCTGGATATGCTCTGTATGCACCTGGACTATTGTCCAAAATAAATATGCTAGAGAGATCGCTACAGATTGCACTGAGGTCTTTTGTGTAGCACCCCATGTCAGGTGTGCAATGCTGTCTATAAAATCTTCTTTGTAATATTCCTCTTCCTGCATCTAATCTGTCTGCCACTGCAGCTCCATATATTTCCATACTTGCTGTGAAGATCACTAAATCATACCACTGAGACACCTTAAATGTTAATTAAATAAATTAAAGAAAAATTAGTATTAAATACATACAATGTCCAAAAAGAAATCCACATGAGGCCTTTTATGGACAAAAAATCTCACTGGGTGTCTATCAATAACAACTTTTAAAACAAAATCGGGTGGTGTCCCTGGTCTCACAGTCTGTCTAACTACACCATCATGATGTGAATGAATTAATGTTTCATCCAAATCTAATACTAATGTTTTTCTTTTTACTATACCTTCAACAAACAAGAATTGTAAATATATGGGTAACACTTTTTAATCATAGAAACACTTCTAATATGTTATTAAACTATCGAAAATAGGATACAATTGTTACTCACTTAGACGATGCCTTGATAGTGGAGATAATGGAAACAAATCATATTTAACTGACTGATGCTGAATGATCTAAAACATTTTAGAAATTACATACAATTCAGCCGTTATAAGTATATAAAATTTGACAAAATGCCAATTGCTAGAACTGCCAAATAAATTTATTGCAAACTTTAATGGTGACAAGACACACATTTACCAAATTATATTTTACATATTCCCACAAACTTGGATTATTGATGATTTGTTTGTAAAACTTATGTGGTTAACCACAACTACTGATCTTATCACTGTTAAATACGTCAGCTGAATTTTTTTATAAATGAAAATTTATTAGAAGTTTAAATTTAGATTTCAGCAATAGAATTTAATAAGAAATGCTTTGCAAAAATACTTACCGCTCTTGTCTGTTTCTTTACTATAAAGCACAAACAATTCCAAATCTTGGACGCCAGAAGCAAAAATGCTCTGAGTCCCATTTGCACGCGTTTCCACATTTGAAAAGTTTTTAGATGTCAGAAGTAATTTACTTAGTCATCAATACAAATTTCCCGGTATTTTTTCACAGTATAATCACATTTTATCAATAAAGTTGTACAAACCAAATAGCCGCCATACTACAGATCGACCCATATCGCAAAACTGACATATCCATTATTATAACCTTACGCATGTGCATCTTTTTTTCAATATTATAAACATAAACTATGACCCGCAACCCACATTACTTACAAATATTTGGGGTTGCAAGACTTTCTTTAAAAAACAAATATTTTATTTAATTGAAAAGTTTGTTTTAAACAAAGTCGATAGTCCTTTATGAATGTTAAAGACAAAATAGCAAATGTGAAGTAAAGTAATGGTTATTGTAGGAATTTTCATTTTAAATTCCCACAGGTACTTTTTAAAGTATCACTCTGTATATATACTAATTTGGTAAATTTAAAAACAATAAAAAGTAAATAAATATACTATTTTTCAACTCGTGTACACTAGAGATATATTATTCAGTTGTAAAATATCTTTAGAAATATATCTTTATAACATTTTATATTCATGATATTTTAAAAGATTA